AAAAGTTTCCATTACTCCTTACTCGGGTCTTCTCAAATGGGTTTCGATCATCCTGGTTTCTTGTATTTATACGCCAAAGCTCCCATAATGAGATGGTGCAACCAAGATTACAGATTGTAGATCTAACCGATCAATGGATAATCGTTACTGAACACAGGCTTAATTTTCAAAGTCATTGTCCGTGGGATTTGAACTCTAGACCTGCCGCTTGGAGGGGTGACAACTAGACCACTTCACTAAGCTGCCACACCACATTTCTAATATCTTGATACATTTGATCCTAATAATATCATTTAGATATTTTATAATATATAACATTGGTTTCTAAGTATTTAGCAGTAGGATGACTATGTATTATATAGAAAATAGATTTAACTTTGGTCTATTTGATAACTCAAATAGGTTTATTAGAGTCTTTTTAATTTTTTTTGTATAGCATTTTATTCTGTAATTTATAATATTTTAATTGTTTAATAATTGTTTGTTATTTATTTTTTATAAAGTTAAGAGGTAGTAAGTCTGATTCTAAATATTTTACAAGATGTTGATATTGATTTAAATTCATCTAGAGAAAAGTAAAGAAGAAGCATGTATCTGTGTTGACAATCATGAAAAGGTATTAATATTAGAATAGATTCATCTGGATTTGCAACTTCGTTGTAACTATATATGTATTTAACAACTAATAAAAAGCATTTTATAGCCAAAGAGGTCACTTTAATACCAAAAAAAAAAATAATAAATAAATAAATAAATATAACTAGGCTGGGTTATTTTTTAACAATTGATAAGGCTATTGAGTTTCTTAATATAAAATGTGTAAAACAAAGTATTGGAAAGTGTTTAAAAACTAAAGAAGATTTAAAAGAAAAAATGATGACAATACAATTTAAAAGAGAATATATGAATTTAATATTAAGTGATTTTATTAATGATCCAATAATTATATGAGCTTGGTGCTACAGAAAAGGGGGAAATCAACAAAACAAAAGATCTTTAGAAGATCAATTTTTTTTTTTTTTTTTTTTTTTTTTTTTAATATTAAAGGTGACCACTTAGGCCATTGGCATGAGCTTTATTTCG